GGATCAGGATCTTGATCTGGATTCAAATCAGGTTCTGGATCTGGATTCAGATCAGGTTCTGGATCTGGACGAAGGTCGGGACCTGGATCTGGATCAGGGTCCGGATGAGGATTTGGATCTGGATTCAGAGCAGGATCTGGATCAGATCAGGTTCTGGAGCAGGTTCAGGTTCAGGGTTTGGATCTGGTTCAGGATCTGGGTCAGAATCAGGATAAGGATTTGGATCTGGATAAGGATCTGGATCTGGATTTGGATCTGGATTTGAACCTGGGTCAGGATCTGGATCAGGATCTGGGTCAGGTTCAGGATCTGGATCAGGTAGAGGTCTGGATCTTGATATGGATCAAGGTCAGGATCTAGATTTGGATCTGGATTCAGAGCAGGATCTGGATCAGATCAGTTTCTGGTTCAGGGTTTGGATCTGGTTCAGGATCTGTATTTGGATCTGGATTTAGATCTGGATTCAGAGCAGGATCTGGATCAGATCAGGTTCTGGTTCAGGGTTTGGATCTGGATGTGGATCAGAGCAGGTTCTGGTTCAGCATCTGTATTAAGATCAGGATCTGCATCAGATTCTGGTTCAGGGTCAGGATTTGGATTTAGAAAGCTGCTGATGTGAGCCAGATCCTCTTGTCTCCAGGATGTGGATTCAGTCTGGGTCTGGTCCGGTTCTGGTCTGGTTCTAGGCTGGTTCTGGTACGGTTCTGGTCTGGTTCTGGTCTGGTTCTGGTCTGGTTCTGGTCTGGTTCTGGTCCGGTTCTTGTCTGTTCCTGGTCCGGTTCTGACTGTCCTGATCTGTATCTCCTCAGTCTGTAACCTCATGTGTCACGAGAAGTGTCTGAAGACTCTGAGGACGGTCTGCAGCTGCATGACCCCCACGCTGGTCCAGGTGAGTCCCACATCTGGTCCCACATCTGGTCCAACATCTGGTCCCACATCTGGTCCAACATCTGGTCCCACATCTGGTCCATTAGCTGGTCCATCAGCTGGTCCATCAGCTGGTCCATCAGCTGGTTCAACATCTGGTCCCTCACCTGGTCCAACATCTGGTCCATTAGCTGGTCCCACATCTGGTCCAACATCTGGTCCATTAGCTGGTCCCACATCTGGTCCCACATCTGGTCCATTAGCTGGTCCAACATCTGGTTCCTCAGCTGGTCCATCAGCTGGTCCAACATCTGGTCCATTAGATGGTCCAACATCTGGTCCAACATCTGGTTCCTCAGCTGGTCCATTAGCTAGTCCAACATCTGGTCCAACATCTGGTCCAACATCTGGTTCCTCAGCTGGTCAATCAGCTGGTCCTAGACCTGGTCCAACATCTGGTTCCTTAGCTGGTCCAACATCTGGTCCATCATCTGGTCCATCATCTGGTCCATCATCTGGTCCATTAGCTGGTCCCACATCTGGTCCAACATCTGGTCCAACAGCTGGTCCAACATCTGGTCCCTCAGCTGGGTCAACATCTGGTCCCTCACATGGTCCAACATCTGGTCCATTAGCTGGTCCCACATCTGGTCCAACATCTGGTCCATTAGCTGGTCCCACATCTGGTCCCACATCTGGTCCATTAGCTGGTCCAACATCTGGTTCCTCAGCTGGTCCATCAGCTGGTCCAACATCTGGTCCATTAGATGGTCTAAAAACTGGCCCAACATCTGGTCCATCAGCTGGCTGCCCAAAGAACAGAGCTTCATTCTTTAATATTTTCTGATATAAAAATTAGATATAGTTTCACTTTTCACTGTTTTGTGCCACTTTAAAGCATCAAAGTTGAACTTTTTTAGGACATTTTCAACTTAAAAAATCAGGCAAAGTTGAACTTTTAATCATTTTCTGCCGGAAAAGTGAAACAAAGTTGATTTTTTTCCATTTTTTTTAGCTTTTAATGTTTGGGAACAGTTGACAGAGTTTAATAAATCTGCTGTAAAGTTGATTTTTTGCTCCACAAACAAAGTCTCACGTTTTGGTGTCTGAGTGGATTCTCTGCTCTCATTGGTCGGCTGGACTGGCCTGATCAGACTCCTCCTATGAGGAGGAGCTAATGAGCCTGAGCAGGAAGTGGGCCTCAGGCTGGTCTGTGTGTGTGTGT